CTCAAGGGAGCAAATATGGAGACAAAGTGAGGGACAGAAACTGAAGGAAGGGCAGGTCTGAAGACCATTCCATCTGAGTACCCATCCTATGTGCAGTCACCAAAGGTAGATGCTGATGTGGAAGTCAGGAAGTGCATGCTGATTAGAGCCTGATATGGATGTCTCCTCAGAGGTCTGTAAGAGTCTGACATATTCAGAGGCAGACGCTCACAACTAGCCATTGAACTGATCATGGGGTTCCCAATGGAGGAGTTAGAGTGAAGGCCATTGGAGCTGAAAGGGTTTGTGGCACCATGAGGAGAGCAACAATACCAACCAACCACAGCTCCCAGGGTCTAAACCACCAGCCTGGGAGCACTTAGGGAGGGATCCAGGGCTTCAGCTGAATAAGTAAGAGTGGAGGGCCCTGCTGGGCATAGGTGGAAGAAGAGATCCTTGACCTCATGAAGGCTGGACGCCCCAGGGGGTGGGAATTTGAGGGTGGGGAGGTGGGAGTTGGGGGGGGGTAGGTAGGGGTTACATCCGCAGAGAAGAAGGAGGAGGGGTAAGGGGATAGGGGGTTCCTGGGTGGGTGGGGAATGGGGTAAGGGGACAACATATGAAATGTAAATAAAACATCAAAAAAAAAAAGGTGACATGAAGTTGGGAAGGGATGAGTGGATGGATATGTATCTGGTATGAGTTAGAGGAAGGGGTGGAGCCATCACGATTAACAAAGTGTTGTATCCATATGTGGAATTCTCAAAAAGTAAACTAGTATCTAAAAAAAAAAATAAAAAAATAAAAAAAATCAAATACAAGTGGTCCCTGAACCTGCTGCATGCAGCTCCCGTTAGAAGACTAAGATATTGAGAGGCATCCCTGTCTACTACATAGGTTTACTCCTTAAGAGAATTTTTCATGTTTGCAAAGTATGGTGACTCCAAAGCTAGTACTGCACAGACTATAGACTATTAAAGGAGAGAAATGAAGGAAACTAGCAAGCAACAGGAAGCAGCAGCAAGACACAATTCAAACTGTTTCTCTGCATCAAACCCAAGTCCCTGGGTTTGTGTGTTTTTTATAGATTCCTATTTCTGTAGGTAGCAATTTCTGATAGATACCTATATCCACAGAGCTTCTCACAAAAAGATGTTTTGAACAAATTAGTTCTGGGTTTACAGGGAGTGTTTGGATAGCAAAAGATGCATGTTCTAGAATAACTCTACAAGAAAAAGGGAACGAGAGGACAAGGAAATAGGAAACTCAGAAAAATTATTTTCCTGGCTACAAAATCAATGAGCATCATCTCCTACATGAACAATTTCTCTTTTCATCTTAAAAACCTTACACAGGTTCTAAAAAAAAGTGACTTCCCACTGCAGTTCATTTCATCTACATTTCATACCAAGCCATTTCTTTTATCAGTTTCTAGCATCACTACTCCCTCTAGAGGCAGAAGACACAAAGGACCTAGGAAGTCTAGCTTGTGGATGGTGTTTATATGGCACTCAGATACAAGTGGGACATGAGTGAGAGGCCCAGAGGTTGACAGTAGGTGTCTTCCTTTATTTACCAAATGAACCATCTTCCCAGTTCCCACCAGTCCAATTCTGATAGGGTTTAAGGACAAGCACAAAAGCAAAAAGTAAGCTAATTTTTCTTTGTGTCAAAAAAACCCTTTACTCACTAAAATTTTCATACTAAAATATGGCTTCTAGCCAGGCCATGTTGGCACACACCTTTAATATCAACTCTAGGAAGCAGAGACAGGTGGATTTCTGAGTTTGAGACCAGCCTGGTCTACAGAGTGAGTTCCAGGACAGCCAGGGCTGCACAGAGAAACCCTGTCTGGAAAAAAAAAGAAAAAAAATCACATACTAACTTTCATAAATGAACTACTATAAAAAAAATCTGTGCTTGAGGCTTGGGTTTGATGTCTACAATTATCAAAGAAACTAGTGATGTAGGTGATCATGACAAGTACCTTCATTTTCAGGTCAGAATCCACAGGCAGAAGGGCCAAGCCTGGGCCTTCCTCGCTAGTCCTGGTTGTCCTTTGTTACATATAACAATAATGATATAAGACCAGAAGCACGGGGGAGTCAAAGAAGAAAACATTTTATCTGTGGATAACTAGGCAACATCCAAACTTAATCAGCTACATTTTCCTGCACATGATAAACAGGAATGAGATTTCTACACTTAACCAAATCTTTGATTTCTAGGTGACTGGGAACCAGCTCTCTAGCTTTTTCCCTTACTAGCTACCACAACTTGATCCTAGACAGAATAAGGCTGTTCTTGAGTTTAACAACTTACACAATGCGTAACAGACCCAGCAACTGGGAATCCTCTAACCTCTTTTTTTTTCTTTGTGTGTGTGCATGTGTGGCCTCTTTTTTTTTTTGTGGAGGCCCTTCAGTTCCAGCGTCTTTCTGGAGAAGAATCACATATATAGTGCAGGGATGCACAACACTGCTCCAGTTGTCCAGCAGAAAAGTCACAAGACAGAGGGCTTGATGAATTCAATTTCAAAGATAAGAGGGCTAATAAATATTATCAAGTAGCTACAATTCTCTATCTGCACAAGAATAACTGATCTAAACACCTGGGTTCCAGCAACCAGAAGAACAAGAGAAAACTATGGCAGGTAAAGGCCCAGAAACAGTCTTCTGTACTTGGTCCCAATACGTAGCACTCCATTGTCCTCTTTTTTTTTTTTTTTTTAAAAAAAAAAAAATCAAACAGAAATGATCAGAACTGATTTACAGGTTTTCAAATTTAAAGTGCACTAATCGTTATTTACGTCAGGGCACATGGAACATGATATATATGTGGTAGTCAAGAGGACAACTTGGGCCACTCTCCTATTCTGTTGCATCAGGAAGGTTTTTGGCCCAGGCTTAAGCCTGAATAAAGAGTCTCATGTGTTTGCCCCCCAAACAAACAAACAAACAAACAAACAAACAAAAACAAAACCTAAACTCAGGCTGTCAGGCTAGGCTGCAAATATCTTTACCTCCTGAGAAATTCTGAAAACCTCAGAAAATCTTATGAAATTCTTTTGCTCACCCTGTCACTTCAGTTTCTAATCATCACCCCCAATCTCATGGTGAGTAACTACTGAGCTATCTGGTGAATTTTGTTTTTCTCAGCAGTAAGTATTTCACCCATGGGGCGCAGCAAGTCGCTAAGGTGCTGTGCTGGCTCTGTCACTGTGTGGCAGAATGGCTAGGCAAATCACTAAACTTCTTCAGCAAATTAGGCTGATAACCTCACATGCAAATTCTACAGTATTGGAATAATCCAAGAAAATGGGCAGAAGACTCTTCTTATGAACCCCAGGGGCACTATCCATCCAGCTGCCGTACTGTGTACATCTACAAGGTGGCAGTTATTTTAGAAGGAGTGAAGGTTTGTATACTCAGAGTTGCAAGGCTAGTTACTTACAAGTTCAACAGTCTCAAGTCCACAATACGTCCATACACCTACCTTTAGCTCTCTTTTATGTTACTGGGGCTGGAGTAAGGGTCTTCCAACTGCTGGAATGACTTTACCATGTTCATCACATGAATATAGTTTTAAAATATATTTCTACTGTTTGTTTAAATTTGAGTATTTTGATATGATCTTTCATTAATTCTAACATTTAGAAACTAGTAAGGCTCTAATTTTCCACTTCAAAAAATGCTAATAAACTGAATTTAGGTAAGTATTTACCGCTTAGCAGTATTATTTAAGATGCTCTTTTATTGGTTAACAGTTTTAGTGGTTCAGATGCATAGTACTAGATTCTACACAGCAAGTTTTTAAAAATGCTTTCAGGGCTGAAGAAATGGCTCAGAAGTTAAGAGTAAGAGCACTTGTTGAGTTTGAGGCCAGCCTGGTCTACAGCCAGGACATGGAGTAACCTTATTTGGGGAAAGTGTGTGTGTTCCCATTGCTACAGAGTACCCAAATGACTTTGTCTACATGTACTATTAAGGACTAGGACTTAGCCTACAAAGATCATTCAGCCTCTTAGGAGATAGTTTTGGAGTATTCTGGTTGGCTAAGTCTAGAAAGCAGTTACACAAGTAACAGACGATAGGTTCAACGTGAAGGCTGACATAGGAAACTCGCAGCCCCAAAGAACGCGAGTGACATTCACATATACTATCTTGGGAGGCTTAATGCTTGGCCAAGTAGATTATAAATAGATGACAGAAGACAAGACAGAATTTAAGTTTCCTCTAATTCAGTCTGAGCGCTTAGCTTTTCATGTACGCTTTATTAACCTAGAGACTCTCAACTATGGAGCACACTGGAACTATTTGAAAAGCTAAACAAAAAATTTATGTTTGGGCCTCATCCCAGAAAATACACCAGAGAATTTTTCTTAGTAGGTAAGCATTATCCTTAGTGGATCAGTAGTTGGAGAAATCTATTCAACCAAAACTATGAGACTCTAAACTTATTTGTAAGGAATGAATATACATGAGTTGAAGGGACAGACTTGAGGAGATTTGGAAGGAAAAAGTCAAGTCTAACACACTAAATACACAGGGCCAGCATGAGGTAAACAGGTGGTCAGTAAAAGGACAAGAGACAGTGAGGACAGTGAAACTGTCCCTGGTCAAGCTAAAGCCCATTTGTTTCCTTCTTTTTTCTCCCTGCTACTCTTAGGGATCCTCCTGTTTCTGCCCCATTGCTGGAATTCCGAACCACTACACCTTCCTAAGATCTCATCTCTTTAGCTGGGTTACTATTTTCCAAAATATAGAAAGGCGTGTCTTGGATGGCTGCCATGCAGCATCTGTAACATGACATCACTGGTCATCTTGCTAATCCATCTTCATAAAACCCTAGTGACATCATCTGCATCTCCTCAGGAGCTGTGGTGGTGGAGGGATGTAAAACACCAGTTAGGGACTTCTCACAGCAGGTTCTCTGGTAAGGAAATTACTCTGTATACTTTTCTGCCCATTTTTTCTAACAGTTAAGTAGAGGTGTACAGAATTTCCTCAGTAATGGCTTACCTGGTCAATATCAGCATTTCTTGGAAGAAAATAAACAATATTATTAGTGATCTTCTGAGAAAGCCTGAAAATTTCAAAGGTGAAGAACAGTTAAGGATAAGAAGTTTCTGAGTAAGAGGTGTTCATTGCCTGTCAGTAACCAAGTACATTTTGTAAGCAACAAAAAGGTACATATTTAAATCCCACCCCCCCCAAAAAATCAGATACATGATTAGGAATCCAGCAACAGCACCCTGATAGTTAAAACAATGCAGCTGCTTTAGTATAAGGCACTGGTAGTTGAAGATTACTACCCACAGACCTGAGGTTTTGAAGAAACTTTTAGTTTCTACTAATTCTAAATAATAAATCAATTTATTCTCAAGGCAGGTTCTGTAGCAGCAGACCTGCACCTTGGGCATTGGGCTGGGCAGCATCTGTATTATGAATCAGCAGCCACCCTGTCAACCCATTTCATAAAACCCTAGGAAACCACTTTCTTTTCTCTATTCCTCAGGAGCTATGGCAGATCTCTTGCTTTCTAACAGCAAAACTAAATAGTAACAAAGGCCTATATACATCTATAGATAGTACACCTATGATCACCCCACACATAATTTTTACAGTTGTTTGTAAAGCTTTCGTTATTACTATTATTATTACAGTGGGTGTACATGTGGTTCCTGGGTGTATCAGAGGATAACTCTCTTCTTGTACCTTTCTTTATATGGGTTCTGGGACTCAGTTTCAGGTTGCCAGGTATGCAGCAAGTGTCTTTACTAGTTGAGCTAGTTGGAAGGCTGTACATTTTTGTGTAAAATACAATGTAATTTACCAAATGTGATTAGCTTATACTTTTTCTCTATACCTACATGCACACACGCACGCACGCTCAGCCACCCCTTTCCTCTCTGCAAACATTTACTTATACTATTTGGACTTCCAAAGGATATCCATCAGGAGACATCATTGTCCTAATGTCGAAGGTCTCTGCAGCAGCATAATCTGGACCTCCCCAAGGTGGACTTAGGAACACAACATCAGCCTTTAAACACGGAGCCAAGAGCAGGAAATCTCCACAGATAAACTCTATCTTATCTGCTACCCCATAAACTTCAGCATTATTCCGAGCAAGATCAATTTTAACAGGGTCGATATCAATGGCAATCACTGAAAATAGAAAAGAAAGTTGACAATGAGATGACTTCTGAATAAAACATCTAATAAAAAAAAAAAACTTGAGACACATAGCTATACACAAATACAATTTTAGTTAAAATTTATTTAAATTAAAAAGGCTCATATACAGTTGTATGAAGAAAACATTATCTAAAGAACAGGCTTCCATATTGTTTTGTCTAGTCACCACCCAAAGTGTAAACGGCCATTGAGGGGAGCGGCTGGCGGCAGCTATGTACAGTTGGAGCACTGAATGCTTACACATGCTACTACTTGCATGTAAAGCTAAACGCTGGCTTTCAGAAAAGACTAATTTCCCTAAAATGATTCAATGTTCCTAGTTCCCAACACTGTGAGAGTAAAGGCCATGTCACCACAGTACCAAGAAGAGGCAGTGTTAGCTACTTGTTTCCTTTTCTTCTCAGGGTCTAGCAATCTATAAAGGTAGAAGATAAAACAACGCTAAGAGCCAGAGCAGTGGTTCTCAACCTTCCCAATGCAGCAATCCTTTAAACCAGTTCTGCATGCTGTGGTGACCCCAACCATAACACTTTGTTGCTATTTCATAACTGTAATTTCACTATTATGAATTATAATGTAAATATCTGATATTCAGGATATCTGATTGACCCCTTTGGGGTCACAGCCCACAGTCTGAGAACCGCTGCCACAGAGGGAGTTGACAATAAGAACATGGCACTAGCCTTCCTTTAGGACACATTACACATTTTCTTTTCCAAACGTGTGCCAAGCCTTTCCAATTAAGAAACTAATCTAGAGTATTCATGTTTTTTCATATTTACAGAAAATTTCCAGACTTGCTTTATCAAGGTACAGATAGTTTAACCACTGTCTTATGACAAAATGTCAAATACCTCATTTTATGATGAGCTTGATAACTTTTGAGGAAAAATATTTTCAGTCTATGTGGCTTATTTGAAAAAAAACCACTTGAGAATTCTGAAACATTGAATTAGTGGAAGACAAGAAAGTAATTATTGATCTAGTAAACCTGAGAACTGCTTTTATCTAGGTTACTACAAGACCATGTAAACTTAGCAAGTGCATGCCGGGAGTACAGAAATAGTAGAATCAAGGTCACAGCTTATCTGCTCTCGTCTTGAAATCAACAGGCAAACTCTCCCCACTATTTGCTGACTTCTACACTCTGTTTCCAGATTCATATTTTGCTTTCTCAGTTAATACTAAAAAGTTTGTATACTTTATGAGATTCTGCTGAAATCCACTAAAATGAAAGCCATCACCCACTGGTAGGTCTAATATTAAGATAATGGGGAAAAGTATCTTTAGAGTATGACTTGCATGTCGTCTGTATCTCTAAAGCTGTGGGATATCATAGACATGACTCACAAACCCAGTATACTGCAGGTAAGGGCTCTTTTAGGCTAAACCTTCAGTCCTAAGTATGTATAAAAATTTTTTTTGGGTAGGGAAGGGTTATGGTGTCTCTGTAGCTCATTCCAGTCTCAAGTTTGCAGCCTTCTTCCTTGTCTCCCAAGTACTTACTTGTACACATCACTGTATTCCATGAGAACAATCCATTGACATTTATTTTTAGCTGTGAGCTTAGCCATCTCTCCAGCCCTCCACTAATTTTTAATAGCATTTATTTACTTATTTATTTATGTGTGTAGTGGCAAAAGCCCTTGCTCACTGAGTTACCTCACTGATTCCAACAGTCAGAATTTTTGGAGTTCTGGGATTTTATAGCTGAAAAGTATCAAAAGACTATGTGAATTCAATGTGTTCTTCATTGTCGAGTTATGTCAAAAGTCATAAAGCTACTGAGTCAGAGATAAGCTTCTTCTCCCTATCCATTACTCTTTGACTCTAAGAAGCATTATGGATTAGTTTTTATAGACTGCTAGACTCTTGGCTCCAGAGATTGGTAGGCATGTCTATAAAATCCTGTGCAATTACTTTAGATTTTTATGTCTCCATTTATCTGTGAAATTAAGATAGTAAAAGATATAATTTATGTTGGTTGGCTAAATAAATACATATGACGTACTTGCTAACCATATTATGCAAGATTAATAAACACAGCAAGCTATAGTTTTAAATATTTGGTATAAAATTATCAACTATATATTAAATCTCATCAAAGACAAGAACAAAAGTAAACATATTCTCTGTATAAATTGGAAATAAAACAGTTCTCTGCCATAAATGACTAAATTACCTCTTTTCCCTGTTAAGGCAAACTGAATGGTATTTCCTCCAACTCCACAGAAAGCATCTACTACAATGTCACATGCGAAGGACTGACTGACTCGGCCGGCAATGTGCTCAGCGATCTTCTCAGGAGTGACTGAGAACCAGCCCTCTGTAAAGGGAGAACAGTTTTGTAAACTGTGTGATTCCAAGAATCTAAGCATGAAAAAGAATACATATTGCACAAATTAAAAAACCAGAGAGATGGCTTAGTGATTGTGAGCTCAGTTATAAGCTTGTATGGTTCTTGTAAGGGACCTGTTGGCTCCACATCCACATCAGGTCACAGTCACCTCCAACTTGAGCTCTATCGAATCTACTGCCCTCTTTTCTCCTCTATACTCAGGCACACCCACACAGATGTACACATAAGAATACAAACTGCCTCGCTTTGGAGAAAGGCCCTACAAACTCGCTCATTTCTAAGTCATTTGTACAATATCCTCCACATTAATTACTTACATGCATAGTAATCATATACAACTATATCTTTTCTCTTTGCTGCACTAAATACTGCTTATCAGCTTTGGGAATTGGCAAGTTCTAATTGGCTAGCTGTTTCCCATACTATAGTCTTTCTCAATTATTTTGTTCATAATGGACAGGTAATGACTCAGTTTTTGTTGATATTTTGGGAAGATTTACATGTTTTCAAAGATTTTTTTTTTTATGTAGGGATAATCTTTTATCCTTTATGGGAAATGCAATTTCTCAGAAAGAAGTTTCTTTGAAAAAAATGATGGGGAAATGTTCCTGTTCTCACTACTTACTAAAAATTTAAATGGCTCTTCATTACTTGAAGAAGTTTAAATTCCAGTGAACATTTTTATATTTTTTCCCAGTTATATTTTCTCCTAATAAATTCCCATGTACTTTTTATAGCACTCACTAATTTACAAATTATATAGGCATCATAGAATCACTTAAAATCCTCAATACATCAAGACCTGACTCTGATATTTAATAAAGAGATATTTAGTTAGTCTCAATATGAAAATGAGTGTCAGTCTCTGAGACTAAATTCTTTCACGATCATGGATGGTGGGGGGACACGGACCTGAAGAGATGGCTCAGTGGTTAAGAGCACTGGCTGTTCTTCCAGAGGTCCAGAGCTCAATTCCCAGCAATGCCCTTTATCTCACTGCAATGAAATCTGATTCTCTCTTCTGGTGTGCAAGAAAACAGAGCAACTAGATATGCAGATCTCCGTGCACTAGGTCTATCTTCATCAGATGCTCTTTTTAATGACCTACATACTTCTGTTACCTTCCTAAGTTGCTACAAATAATCAGTTAAACCTGAAATTAAAACACAGATGGTCATATACATATAGTTGAGTGATATTCCACAGGGCAATGAACCATCATTCCTTGAGAGATGTCAACATCATGCTGGAGGAGTGCCTCAAGTAGGAGAGTACCTGCTTGGCTCAAGTGAAACCTCATGAGAGTCTGAGGAACTACTACAGATGACAGTAAGCTAAGAAAAGTTGACAACTAAATGCACAACACACTGCTTTAAGACAGCATATGAATTGCAGAGATAACTCACTATCTTTGTTTTATTTTCTTCTCATACTAGGGACTGATCCCAGGTCTTCATTATTATTATTATTATTACTACAGCAAAATTCCTTGTTCTTAGAAAACGCATACTAAATAACTGGGAGAGGCATGACATATGTAACTAGATCAGAAAAAGACAACACACACAGAACCAAATTATAAATGTTGGAAATAACTGAATGCAAGTAAAAAGGATATGAAAATTTTGTTTTACAACTTTCCTGTAAATCTACAGTGGTTTCTAAATAAAGCTAAACAATATATCTGTATCTTATTTACCTTTGTCCAATTTGATCCCATCATCAAAGCGAGAGAAGAGCCTGTACCTCTGGGCCCAGTATTTTGCCAGCTCTGGAACAGAAGCTATTTCAGGTGGTGGACCATTTATCTTTTTGTTCTTGTTTTTCTTCTTGTTTTTCTTCTTCTTTGTTTCTATTAAAATAAGATATAATACAGATGCTGACCATGAAAAGAGAATGGAACTTAGGAAATCATAAACAGCAGCAATATCAAATAATCATAATTTTGGACTGTAGCGGACCACATGTGCAGTGACACACACTGAGAATCACAGATCAAGACAGAGTACTACCACTTCCGATCACAGCCTGGCTGCCATTTATTAGCTTGAGAAAACTGCCTGTGTGGACACTCGTCTCTGCTGCCACATTGTCCCTAGCATTTATTGGCTAATTTCTATTCTTTTTTCTTCTTTCCTTCCTCTCTCTCTCTCTTTCTAATGATTTCTTTTTATTTATGTGCACTGGTGATCTGCCTGCATGTCTATCTGTGGGACAGTATTGGAACCCCCGGAGCTGGAGTTACAGGAGGTTGCAAGCTGCCAGATGGGTGGTAATAATTGAACCCATGTCCTCTGGATGAGCAGCCTGCTCTTAACTGTTGAGCCATCTCTCCAGACCTCTAATATCTCATTTTATTCCTACAAAAGGAACAGATGCCGAATGTATAGTACTTTACTAACTTCATTTACAGCACTGATGGGAGGTAAGGACTAAACATCTGAAACCTTCCAAAACCAGAATCCTAAAACACATCTGGTCCCCATCATGTAAGATATAGGACACCCAACCTATATAACAAAAGCAGTAATACAGGTCTAAAAATTGTTGACAGCCACAACACTGTTTTGGTTGGTGAATTACAGAAATGTAAAAATTTTTCTTTACTTCTCTTTCTGTTGTTGTAGTCCTGGGGAATTAAAGTTAGACCCCTGTGGTAGACACACACTGAATTACTGAGCTATAACCTCAATCATTTTTCTTACTGAGCTATACCCCTAATCATTTTTCTTAAAATGTCTGTCTGTCTGTCTACACATCGATCCATTGATTGACAGGGTCTGGGTAATTTAATTTGTCCAAGATAGTGATGAACTTGTGGTCCCCCTGCTTTTAGACTCCTGAGAAGCTGAGGTTGAAAATGTGTGTGAACAGGGTCACATTTCATCTTAAGACTCCTTTCATCTTAAGACAACATCTTTCCAAGGCTCATTAAGTTCTAGCCCTGGCCATATAACTCTAGAGAACACAAGTGTCTCAGAAGTATGGTCAAGTTGCAGTCAATAATAATTTAGAAAAATACATTATTAATTGATTATTAGGTTTCAGTTTCCAGAAGATTAGAAGCAGCCATGCATCAATGCTTATAGATGAAGAGAGTTGCCACAGAATACAAACAAGTTTACAGTTGACAAAGAACAAAGCTCTATTACACTTAAATGTTTTTAAGGATAGTACTATGTCCTAATCTGCCCATCAGGTCACTGCAAATAGCCGAAAGTGTTGAGAGAAAAGTAGTGTTTTCACCCACCTCAGCACCCACGTAGCATATGAATATCAGCTGTTACAACACTGGTAATAAAAACCCCACAAAAATACTCAGAGTTTACAGTGTAAAAAGGCAGGAGATAGGTGACAGGAGACTTAGGTACATGTGTATCTACACAAAGGAAAGGAATCAACTAAATCAAGTGTGCTGGATAGTTTTACATCAACTTGACACAAGCTGGAGTCACCTCAGAGGAGGGAGTGTCACCTGAAAAACTGCCTGCATAAGATGGGGCTGTAGGCAAGCCTGTATGTAGGTTATCTTCTTAGTGACTGAAAGATGTGCGAGGACCCACCCCATGGAGGGTGGTGCTACCCTGGGTTGGTAGTTTTGCATGCTATAAGAAAGCAAGCTGTGCCATCCAGTAAGCAATACTCTTTCATGGTCTCTGCATTCTTTTTCCTCATTCCTGCCTTGGCTTCCCTCAAAGAACCATGATTCAGGATAGGTAAGGCAAATAAATAAACAAACCCTTTCCTCCCCATCTTACCTTTTAATTATGGTGTTTCATCAATGCAACAGTAACTGTAACTAAGAGACTAGGCTACTCTTACTAACCTTAAAAGGCAAGAAGGACTGTAATATACATAGCTGCATCAAAAAGACAAACGTGAAACAGTTCACAAAAAGAACTAAGTAAAAAATGTTTACCTGCAATGTTCCATCAAATACTTTCATCTTTATCAATAAAAGAAGTCTGGCCACTAAAAACATTTGTTTTCATATTAGCACCAACTAGTGAAAATGTATTTTGTTAATATTTTATCAAAACCCTTCAAACCATTACAAAAAACAACTATCAAGAAGAAAATGTGTGCTTCACCAATTTCAGGAGGACATGCCACTGTCAGCCAGGAATAGTGGCAGCAGAGATTCAAATCCACATAAATAATGTTTATCTTGATTTGATCCAGACAGATTAAGGCACAGTGAGGGACAGTCACAGTGCTGAGTCCTAGCCTTAAGCTCACTCCCACTGTCCAGAGGCAGAAATGTTGGCAATGTGTGAACCAAGGACACACAAGGTGAAACATGCTGATTCCTACCTTCTGTTTCTGTGCAGGGAGGGTTTGGCATTTCTTCAGGTAAACAGTTCTCTGGAACTAAGGAGCCTCCTTCACTCTTTTCTGCTTCAAGTTCACTGGCTGAAGAGATGGTCTGACATTTTTCAGGTTCTGGATCTCTAGTCTCCACCAGGTCATCAGCTTTCTCCAGGGACATGTCTTGTTCCTCTGAGTCACTGCTTGTGCAAGTGTCTTGCATTTTGTTCTGAGAAAGAGACTCCTGTGATGTCTCATCTATAGGTTCATTAACCCATTTTAGGAATTTTTCCACCTGAAATTTTAAGATACCATAACAAACATCAATTGACTATAAAGAAAATAGAATTTTCTCACTTTTTACTATTTGTGACTTGATTAATACACCATCATAATTATTAGCTTAGAGAAGTGCAATGTATCAAACAAGCGACAAGTAATTCTGGGCTATATGGTATTTAGGGGCACATCCTATGACTTTATTAAGAATTCTCTTAAAAGAAGTTTCATGGCATCAACAGAATTTGGCTTTAAAATAAAATCAGAAGGTGCAGGAAAGATGGATGAGGGTTGCAGTGATAGCTCAGCAGACAGGATTTAGGTTCTGTACCCAGTACCCACATGACACCTCACAACTGTTCCATCTCAGTAGATATGATGTCTTCTAGTCTACACAGGTATCAGGCATACATACATACATACATAAACAAAATACGCACAAACATAAATAAACATAAATAGATCCCAAAACAAAACACAACGCTATCTCTGAAAGAATAAGTAAGAATAGCAAAGCTGACAGAATTAAACCCTAAGAAAATCAGGTAATTTGCTAAAATGTAACAGCAGCTCAAGGTTGGATGAGTTACTTCCTTGCATTTTCTGTACCATGAACCTTCTCTATATCAGGTCTTTATGATCTTAATAATGAATAACTTTCAGAGAATGGCAGATATGTGATAAACAAAACCTCACACTGAGGAGAAAGTGCCACCTATCCACACCCAAGAGGACTAAGGTCACAGCACCTACTATATACAACTGTTTCTATCGTCATCTATAGGTGAAATGTATGAGAATTATTACTCCTAATACATTACAAAGTCTTAAGAGACTGACACTAGGCAGTCTATTTTAGATGTAAAAAGGGTCACTAAAATACTTATTAAAAATATCATAAGACTTGACCAATCTGAAACACACACACACAGAGAGAGAGAGAGAGAGAGAGAGAGAGAGAGAGAGAGAGAGAGGAAGAGAGAGAGGAAGAGGGAGAGAAGGGAGGGCGAGTGAGAAAGAGGCAGAGAGAGACAGAGAGAGAAATAAACTACTTATCAGTTTGTAGCATGCTTTGCCAGAATGCTGAACTTAGAAAACATCTGAGGCTAAAACAAAGTCTTTCAGACCTCTGATATTGTGCTGACTGTCTTTATGGGAGCTGGTGGCAACATCAACTATAGGAAGGCTCTGATCATCAGAAATGCCCCATCCTCAGTAAAAGGATAAGTCACCTAATCACATGATGCTCAAATACATTTGTTTCCTATTTCTTGATAGCAAAGACCAAGGAGGGGTCAGGTTACAGTGTGAATCTACAAACCAGGCTTGTATTTTATTTACATTCTTGGGTCAAGCCTATTACTTCAAAGTGTGATCAGTCTTTGAATGAGTTCAGAATCCAGGCTTATGGTTAAAACTACAGCAGAATCTATACTAGAATCCTACTTGGTGTGAAACAGGTAAGAAAATTCCCCCATCCTTGTCTGTACTACATGGGCAAATCAATCTAATTGACGCATCTTCTTAGATGCTCTAACTTTTTAGTTTTCAAACCCTCCTTTTTTTCATATTATCTCAATTTCCTTCCGTTCCTCAAACCTAGTTTATATAATACATAACTTCGTAAAGCTAGTGGAAAACCATTTGATGTATCCTTCAATCTTGAAGGGTGGAACTTTCCATTAGAATACAACTTTAAAGAAGTAAGTTCTAAACCCTGATTCTGTCTCAACTGAAGGTCAGTCTGTGCATACCTTACTCTGTACTTTACTCTTCTTGACAAAGGGTTTTCCTGACTCCTCGGTGAATAGGATGTGCTTGTTCTTCACAGTCATCCGCTTGCGCATATCTAGGTACTTCGACTTGTATTTCACATTCTTTTCTAGATACCTGACCTGTCGACGACTGAAATTTGGAATTCCACCATATCTGGATCAGACCAAAAGAAATGATTCACATGTTAAAAAATTTCTTGTATAGAAACAACAACAACAACAACAATAACATCAACAAAAAATAAAAAAAAAAATCCTAAAAACCAAAAACCTCTCCCAATCCCTAAATAACACTTTTTACTAGTATTTGCTATAATATAGCTATCATTTAATACTAATAAATTTTGCAAATGATGAAATCACATACTACTTGCAGAAGAGTTTATGGTTTAGTCTTTAAGACAAATTAAAAGCAAACATGAAGGCAAATCTCTGAGTCTGAGGCCAGCCTGGTCTACAGAGAAAATTCTACAACAGAGAAATTCAGCTAGAGCTACACAGGGAAACCCTGTCTCAAAAAAGTCAAAACTCCCAAACCAACCCCTCCAAAACCCTCAAAAAACCAAGCATCACCACCTCTCCCTCCCACAAAAAAACCCCAAACCAAATGCGAAACACTGATGGTAAGTCTAATAAGGCTATTTTTTTCTGTTTGAGACAGGCTTATACCATATAGCCCAAATTTGCCTTAAATTCTTCATTTTCCTGCCTCAAATTCCTGAATGCTAGCATTACAAGTGTGGCATCAAAACTAAAATACATTTCTAATGTAGATTAGAAAGTAAAAATTTTATAGCAGAGAGCCATAAAGATGGCTAGCAAAACCAAAACAAAAGCATACTTCCTTGTTGGGGTAATTTTTTTCTCAGAGTGATGATATAACCTTATACACATAGGGCCAGTATCAAATTAATGCTAAGAATAGCTGCTGAATGCCTAGTTTAGAGAAAATCTGATCTAATCACCTGAGTTTCTGTCAGAAAGTTTCCAAGCCCCCCAAGAATGTCCTCTTTGACTCATGTTACAATAATAATAATAATAATAATAATAATAAACCTTATCTTTCTCTTTAAGTAGAATTCTATTTCTAAATAGAAAAGACTTAAGTTAAATTCCAAACAATGACATTTACTCCCATGAGTATATACTACCAAGACCCAATAACAGCTTACCTAAAATCAATGCTGCCAACAATGTAAACAGCTTTCATATATACCTTTAAACTTGATCCTTTTTAGCCTAAAGTGCCTATACAAACTACTACTGACTGAAGTCCCTAAGCAGGTAACTTTAGAAGCCATTGTAAGATTTGAATTATAAGCATGTACTTTACACATGAATCATGAGGCTCTTCTCATTTTCTTTTCCTGCTAAATTCATGATGCACAGCTTATTTAGATTATTTAAATTCCTAAGATACAGGTTACTAAGAAATTGAGTCTAAACTCGTAGAAACATAAAAAGTCAAAGAATGGGATAAACTGACTAAACAGTACATGTTGAGGCTGTTTTAGTCACTCGGTTCAGTCTTCCCGTCATGAGATGTAAGTTACTCTTCCATAAATAGCTACTTTATGTGTACTAGCAAAATCCAGAAAAAAAATCCAAAGGCCATTTAAAAGGCAAACGGTTGAACGATTTTTGCTATCTCCTTATCTACATACAAAGTATTGACTACCCCATCAAGGAGGAGGAAAGGACAAAAGGGATGCAGGCATAACAGCCATCATGCTTAGATCTTAGGAAACAACCTAGATATTGTTAGTGAAGATGGAGGTTTAATACAAACTTTCACTGAAAGGACTAGGCAAACACTGTATGTGTGTGCCAACAAGAAAGGGAATATATGGCATACTGCTGAGGAAAGCAAGCTGTGCCCTATGCATGCTGCATTAGTGACTTATAAACAAACAAGGAGTAATCTATGTACCTACTTGTGAAACATTTGAATTTTCATGACATCTTTGCTCCATGGTCTGGTCTCTAGTCTTCAGAAGAAGAAAGAGGTAGCACCATGAGATGCCAGGTGGGAGCCATCATTTGAAGCTCTAAGATATGAGCTTAAACCCTCTCTCTGTGAAATGTGATCTGGACTAGGTCAAAATGTATGTGACCTACAGCTGCTGTATCTATGTAATAGACTGGAATAAGAATAACATTTGGTTGCTACTAAGTGCAACTGGATTAATACAGAGAATACATCAAATATACACTACAACTTCTACTGTTAAGTCTTACTAACAAGAGAAGCTGATGTGTTAATTGTATTATCTGCGACGGTATCAAATACTGACATTATAGATTATCTATCTGAATGCCGAAGAGATTTAAGTAGTTGACGTTATTAGCATTTCAAGAAGGTTATGAATAATTACTTTTGTCCTGAGCCATGCTTGAATCCTAGAAGGAAACCATTGTCATCAACTTCGGAATCTGGGTTTTCATCAATGTCCAATTCATGGCTAAAAAAAAAACAAAAACAAGACAAAAAACAACAAAGGAAGGAAACAGTAATCAGCCATGACTTTTAGCATGAACAGTATCACACAAAACCAGAAAGCATGGAGAAAAAGTACTTTAATCAGTATTTTTTGGATAACTCATTGTACTTAGCAGTGTTAGAAACTAACAAGCATTCATATTCTTTTATTTAAAGATTTTAACTTAAAATGTATGTATGTGTGTCTTTCTATATATCTGTATGGGTATGTGAATACAGGTATGCCAGTGAAGGCCAGAACGAAGACCTCAGATTCTATGGAGCTGGAGTTACAGGTTGTTGTGTTCTGTCTGACGTGGGTGTTTAGTACCTAACTCAGCCCCTCTGGAAAAGCAACAAGTGATCTTATCTACTGAGCTATCACTATAGTCCTCAAATCTTAAACCCTCTAAGTATTCTACCACTATTCCCGAAGATAGTGTAAATATTTATCACTATGTAATCTCGGCTGGAGCCTGAGCTTAACTTTCTGTATCGATTTCTCTAGAGCTCTCCCTAAAAAAAAATTTGAGAAGAACCAATCAGACCAAAACATTTTTATAGAAAAACTGTTATTAAGAAGAGTACAGTATGGGGGCTGAAGAGACGGCTTAGAGGTTAAGAGCACTGAAAACTCTTTCAGAAGCCCAGTGTTTGCTTCCCAGCACCCATACTGAGCGGCTCACAACCACCTGAATCTCCAGTGCCTATTTCTGGCCTCTTTGGGCACCTTATGTTTTACCCTCAGAACATAAAACATACAGGTGAAAACAAATCTTTAAAAACAAATCTTTAAATACAGGTGGCAGGTAACCCAGGAGAATCCACCAATTGAACTTGACCAGACTTAGAACATCTAGAAAACACTCCTCTGCCCATGTTTGTGAGGGCTTTCTTAGAGGTTCAACAGGGGAGAGAACTACCCCAATGGCACCCTAGACAGACTAAGAATCTTAGAAAAAAGCAAGATGGGAACTAGTTCTTAGTTCTCATTCTTTCCTGATGCACAGTTATCAGCTGCCTCTTGTGCTTACAGTCGAAACCCTGAGTTGCTTCCTCTGACATGCCTTCCCTTCCATGATGGGACCATAAGTTCAAGCTAGGACTCCAAATAAACCTCCTTCCTTAAGCTGTTTTTTGTCAGATATCTCATTTCAGAAGTGACAAGTGTCTTAACAGGTTACCTTTAAGAACCCTGATTATATGGTCCATTGCGTCAAACAGAATACAGGAAGAAATAACTCTTATAAACTTTCTCTTTACAAGTAAGCCAAACTCTAAAAACTTTATCGAGTACATACTAAATCCTAGGAATGTAGGCACACATCCTTCTACTTCTAGAAAACGTGTAGTGACCGTGTAGCAACTAATGGGGCAACTAATAAGCAAAGGTTCCTATAGATAGCCAACACAGCAGTGGCATGCATTTATGGACTAAGCTATTCAGACTTCTGTTTGCCTTTTATTTTTCTAGTTGCTACATGAAAGGAAAAAAATCTTATGTGGAACATATGAAAAAATATGCTCACCTAATGCTCCAATTCTGTAATGATCTATTCTTTCCTAATTATCTACAGTAACAGTACTTGAGACACATTTGACTTTTCATTATTGTACATTGTACTAAACACTGTGGTAAACAGAAAGAGCACTGTCTTGGGTAGAGTTGACCTTCACTCTAAATTTAGGAAGTACCAAAGTAAAGAACTTATCTTTGTCTCACCATCCCTATGCATTCAGCAAAACCATTTGATTGAAGTCTATTTCAAAAACAGCTTAACATATATATAAGAAAGAAATTCAACTATATGTGTGGGGTGGGCTGTTACGCACTACCTTCACAGTGTTCTATACTGTGTGACAGTTCTCGTCAATTTAACTGTCTCACAAAATGAGGAACTAAGATATTTACTTAGAATTTATGAGGAGAATTGAACCTCTGGGTCTAAAGATCTTACTAACAGACCCACTTTATAGAATAGTGCTGCCAGGCGAGGTAATGTGTAGCTTACCTTTTCTTTACTTTGCTGGGCTTATGCTCAGGCGGGTCATCTTCACTCTCATCTCCATCAGCCCCGTTATGGTATGGTCTATGTTTACCTGTATTTGTTCCCGAAGACTCCTGCAACTCTAAAGAGAGAGAGGGAGTACAATGTACTTTTCCCTGAGAACTGGCAACTCTTCTATTATTTTACGTGCTATGCCTATAAGATTTAACGTTTCAGGGTCTGATCATATAATCACATGTTATTTTGTTTTGGTCAAAGATGGCACTGCATATTTGAACACTAAATAGTGGTCTCATGAGATTTTTTTTTTAAGATTTATTTATTTTATGTATGTGAGCACACTGCTGCTCTCTTCAGACACATCTGAATTGGATCCCATTACAGATGGTTGTGAGCCACCATGTGTTTGCTGAGAATTAAACTCAGGCAGGACCTCAGGAAGAGGAGTCATTACTCTTAACCTCTGAGCCATCTCTCCAGCCCTGTCTCATCACAACTCGCTGTTTTAATTTCAGCGTCCTCTGATGAATGCACAGCAGTGAAACCACCTGATAATAAACTTCTCAGAACCTCACCTCCTAGGTAACTGAAGCACAACTGTCGTTTAAAAGCAAAATAAAGCTAGTTTGTCCAGATCTATACAAAGTATACTATAGGGTACAGCATTTCCTTTCTGTTAACTGCTAACTGTTGGCAGGTACATTATTTTTTCTTTTAAATCAATTAATTTTTGGGGTGTGTGTGTGTGTGGAGGAAGGGGCCATGACTGGAATGTTGAAGTCACAGGGAGTAGGTCCTCTCTTCTCTGGGTTCTGGAGATAAAACTCAGATTGTCAGGCAAGTGAGTTTACCACCTCATTGAAAAGGCAGTTTCTTAAGGTGTATGTTGTAGGATATTTGCTCAAACTATAAACCCTGAGATTGTGTTATTTACTGAAAAAATATGTTACTAGTTGTGGTGTGGCTCAGCCCTAGCACACACCTTTAAGAGCTTTCTGTTTATTATAAACAGGATTAAATGAAGTTAACCATAAGTTAAGAGGCAGAGCAACCAGTTGACAAGAAATGAACACTGGAAAAAACCATATAGATAAGAGGGAGCCAAGAGGACGGATAGACACACAGGGAGTAGAAGGGAGGATCACTGAGTCTGAAGGGTTTTTGAAATGACATGGAGCAGGAGAACTTCCTTTTGGGACATCAGCTGAGGAGGAAGGTCAGCTGGGTGCTTGCTCTGCCTCTCTGAGCTAGCAGGCTTTCACCCCAACACCTGGCTCCTGAGTACTGGTAAAATTGAACATTTGAGATGTCGTTTACCAACAACAGGTGAACAGTAGCAATATGTCAGAACATGTTGCAAGAAGTGAGCTGTGTAGGAATTCTGAGTGCTTGTGGGAAAACAAGACAAAGAATCTTGTGACCTCAGTTTCTTCAAAAAACAGAATTGTTCTTGGAATGTGTTTCCATGCTCTTCCCTGGTGTAGTGGACAGGAGTGAGCTTACTTCAGATTATTCATTACAGTTGGCTATTGTTATTTGTTTTTGCCAAGTGTGGCTTGTACTTGTGACTGTACACTGTACTCGACCAACTCTTCTTATCCCTCAGAGTATAAATTACCTGAGGCTCTGAATAAAGTTTGCTAATGCATGAGACTTTAGTCCATCTCACGAATTGGCTCCATTCTCCCTGGTCCTACTGCCTCTAGAGAAGCAAACAGGGATAGTCTGGAGAGTATCAGTGACAAAACGTAGAAATCACATGTAAGTAGAAATGTAACACAGATTTCATAATTTGATCTTAATGGAAAAATGAAAGTATGCTAAGACCTCAAATCCTCATGATCCTGAGAGACAATTCAAAGGAGCAAATTACCACCAACTAGCAATGTGGGGCAGACAACAGAGGGCAACGACGGAGACGCTTTACTGTGTTTGGAAAAGGAAAGAAAGTATAACTGGGAAAGAGAATGAAAGGAGTAAAATATGGCAGAATGCAACCTACTACACTGACCAGTATGTTACAAACTCTGTTTACGAAGTAGAGAAGCTGTGATGGTCAGTGCCCATTGTCCATGGGACAGGATCACGTAGGAGACAGACCTCCGTGGACACCTTAAGGGTATTTTCTTGAATAAGCTATCTGCCATAAGAGAATAGTACCCTAAAAGGTAGGTGGCACCATTTTCTGGGCTTGGGCCTAGACTGCATAAGAAGTATTAGCTAAGTATGAGCATGCATTGCTCACTTCTCTTCCTGACTGTAGCTGAAGTAAGACCAGCTGCTTCAAGGAGCTACTGCCTTAAACTTCCTGTCATGGGGTCCAAACCTTCAACTGCAAGACAAAATAAACACTCCCTCCCTTCAAATGGTTTTGTCAGTAATACAAAGTTGTATTTTATCTCAGGAAAGCAACAGTAAAAACCCAAGACATGTATCAGGGATATAGAGAACAGGAATTTAATATAAAATCAGATTAAGAAAGGATGAGCATCAAAACAGAAAGGAATGAGAATGTAGTAGCTCAGAGAAATGAGAAAGCCAAAGAACTCTGCAAACCTGGGGTCAGGATTGGTTCACAACTATAACAATTCTAGGACTGGAGAGGCTGAGGCAGGAGGATCATAAATTCCAGCCTGGTTATGTAGTTGTGGCCTAATACAACCTCAAATTCCTAAATTAGATTAATACTCTAAGATAAGCAAAGCATTTGCCTGTCAAATGCTTACTTCCAATTCTAATTCATCTGTTCTGAAAAACTCTAAGTTGCAAGTTCACTGTAAATTAGAGTTCCCAAGAGTTTCAAGTTTGCCTTTATTGGCTACAGAGGTACAAAAGGAAGGAGTATTTTTGAAGATGCAATTCAAATCTTATTAATATAGGTGGGCAATTAACATACTACTCGTGATATGAAATTGTGATGGGATAAAAGCACTCATTAAGTATTAATGTGTTAAGCCGACTGAGAACCATTACCTGACAGACTAAGTCTGGATAATCCTACCTTGAGCTGGTTGACTGGAGCTTCTGTTCTCGGACATGTTACTTTCCTTGGGTGTTCCATTACAGGCGTTACTTCCTCCAGAGGCAGGGCACTCTTTCCCAGTGATTCCACTGAGCTGCTTGCCACAGTGTTCAGAGGAATCTAACCAGGTCTTCTCTACTTCTTCTGCAGTCAGAGTTATAGTTTTAATCCCAGTAATAATTTCATTATGGTCATTATCATTTAAGCCAGGGCTTTCATTCTCAACTGTGTTAGGTGAAGATGAAAAAGTCGTTACATCTACTCTCATGCTGACCTCAGCATTCTGGTCAACCTCTGTGTGAGATGTGCAAACATCTTTATCACAGTTTTGTGAGGCAGCGAAAGTCCAGCCCTGAGCTTCCCAATACCGAAATTGTTCCAAATAATACCAATAAAGCTGACTGTAATGTTGCTCCCATTCTTCCTTTGTATCAGGAAGATTCCAAGGTTCAGAAGATAGTGTCTGATCTGGATATTTTTCCTGCCAGCTTTGCCACAACAGTCCCTCTCCATATTCATTCCAGTATTTTTCCCAATTCTCTGTGACCTCTAGCTTTGGTGCCAGTGTATTTTCAACAGGAAGGTTTTCTGTTTCAGTATCTGTTTTGCTTTGAATTGTACATGCTCTGTTGTTCTCACAGTGTTCAACTGAAGATGGATCATCTGAAACCACAAGATCATCTTCTTCATAGTCCTTTCTCCAAGATTCCCGCACCATTTCGTCTAAATACCGCTTTCGATGTTTTCTTCTCTTCTGCTTCACTTTAGCTTTATTTCTTGCGTTCATAGACACCTGCATCAGATACATGGTAACAAGCCTGAGTCTATTTGAAGATTAGCACAACCAAAACCACACCCAAACTCCCAGCATGGGTCTCTAATAAACAAAAGGTGACTCTCACAAGTACTCAACAGAAAAAACGTTACATGTGGGACAAATCCCAACTTGCAGTTTAGCTATTTTATATATGAGTAAAGTGTTCTAACTATGAATGAATTGAATTGACTACATCGTTTTATGAAAAAGAAGAAATAGAAATAGTAAGAGTAGACCTGTACCTCAAAATTCTCGTGTGTAGACATTCTACCAAACTGAATTGGTAATCCCATACTTCTCATGAGTTTGGCCTCAGAGTCAAGGTCACTTTCATCTGGGCTATGTGATTCTGCAGTGCCATTGGAATGAGCATCTTCCTCCTCTTCTGTAACTTGGTCTCCTACAGACAGCATTTGTTAGTTTTATTGTAGAGAAAAATGCAAAGGCAGGCCTTCTCATCCTCATTTTAAAGAAGAGCCTGAGATCCAGAACTCTTACATGACTTGCCTGCACTTGTACTAATGTTGTTATATATTTTAAAATCAAAGGAATTGGTGGAAATGTGATCTAACACACACACACACACACACACACACACACACACACACACACACACACCTACTCCTCAGTGAAAAAACAAACACCACTCCAAGTTCATGATTCAGGCAACAAAAACAGACATGGATAAAGAAACCTCATGTATGAAATTCTACCAGAGGCTCTTCAATGAGGAAAAGACACCCACCTAAATAGTAAAGGGCATCCCACTTACTACTCCATCCAATGACATTATAAAGCTCAGGTGAACATAGGCCGAGGAAGACAAATCAACTAATTTTGTGGTCCTCTCATGGGTAACACAGCTTCTCAGGTTCAGTAGGAGCCTAGAGCCATAGAATCCCTATAGCACAGTATGAAACCTTGGCTTATCCTATCTTTGAAAAAATTAATGTATATTGAAGGCAACTATGATAGACTTTATTGGGGTTGTCTTTGACTAAACTCTGTTCTGCAGTTCTGTCATTTGGAGAAAGTTTTATGTGGAACGATAAAGGCAGTCTGAGAGAGTATAAGTGAAGTCATAACTCTGACCAAATTCTGTTTATTTGGTATGGTAACTCAGATGGGATTGTAGTGTCTTATTACTCCAGGCAAAAGGCTGTACATGTTCATTCGGGATTCATCCTAATTCTACCTTTACTATAAAAATCTGACAGAGACTTCATGCTTTTTACTTTTTAAAACTTTAAACTTAGGCTGCAGAGATGGCTTAGTGGACTGGCTGATCTTCCAGAGAGAGAGTCAAGGTTGGATTCCCAGCACCCACGTGGTGACTCATAATCATCTGTAAGTTCTAGGGGATCCATTCGATATCCTCTTCTGGTTACTCCCAAAATTCATGATTCCCTCAAGATGTCTTCTATGGGCACTGTATGCTTGCAGTACACTTACAAACATGCAGGCAAAATAACAGATTAAAAAAGAAGATTAAAAAAAAAAGTTTCAAACTCCAGGCTAATGGCTACAAATCAGGAAGGAATGGAAGACATCTCAAAGTCTAAGCCAAGCCAGCATACAACAGGAAAATCAGGAAAATAAAAGGTAAACTTGGATAGCAATTCTAGAAGAACAGCTGTGTGCCTGCGTGTGTGCATGTGAGAGATTATAGGATTATTTACCATTTATGCCAGCAAGTAGGACACATTATCATAAATTATATACATGAATATGGTAGTACAGTTAATTTTGATCAAAAAAGGGTATACATCTTATTCTATATTACCTGCATTATCGCCACTGCTTTTGACATAGTAGCCTTTTAATCCCAAGTTGTACAATTTTCGATCCCTGTGAAGCAAAATAAATAATCTACATTGGAATAAGCTGAACTATAAACTTGGAAAGAAAGAGAGTTAACGCTGAATCGATTAGCTAATATAAAGGTTAAGAAAAGAAGCAACCCATTCTCACCTATAGGATGTTTCCCCTGGAGTTGTAAAAATTGGTAACATAAAATAGCATTTCTTGATACATGATAGCGCTTATCATTGCTAATCATTAAAATTAAGTGGACTTTCTCCTGGACATTGGGAGGAAAGTCTGATTCTCTTTGTTACACACAACCAATTCGGTAATTTCTAAACTTTTGGTAACATCTGAATATACTCCAATAGTGGAAAAATCTGAGCTCACCCACATATAAAGCTACATATATACTGTAATTCATTTGTAAACAGGAAATATGTAAACATAGTAGACAAAATAGCCATGGTCTGTGTAAAAGTTGAATAATGATGTTCTCACTCAACCTTTCCTTTGTACATTACCATCATTGGAAATTTCATTACTAAAATAAACTTACAGAACATTTAATAAAAGCATACTACACACTGTAGGTAAAACTACCTCCTTGTATCCACTCTGGCCTTGAACTTGATTATCCTACTCCCTCACTTCAGTATCCCAACTACTAGGATTATAGGCATGAGCCACCATGCCTAACACTAAATTTCTGGTGACCTTATAAGAAACTTCACAAAATAAAATTCCTGTGTGCTTGATCTATCCTGTTTTTGAAGGGAACTTTATGAAACATAAAGTATATGGATACTCACAAAACAGTGAACAGGAAGGAGATAAAAGTGTCAATGTGTGCTCTGGCCACATAAGCACTAGTCCCACTATTCACTAGGAACACAGGCGCCATGGGCAAGGGAAGGAGTGGGAGCCACACACAGGCATCGGTGTTTTGTCTATCAGCACCCAAATACATGGGACACCAAGATATCAGGTGGAGGCAGGGTCAATATAGCTACCATTATACTTACAATGAACAAGTAAGAAAATGGACTGTGGAAGAAAGGAAGTCTTTACATAATGGTTCAGTATTACAAACTCATGGCATTAAGTACACAGTAAGTATGGAAGTAGTTTAAAATGTTGAATATATACATATATGCAAATACTCATTTCCTACTTGTACTACGGTTCATACGGACACTGCAGACCTGTTTACTGAGAAGACACAGGGACAACAAACACATAGCTTTTGGTTTTAAAGTTATGGGATGGTTAGCATTAATTGTCAATCTAACACAATTCAGATCCTACCCTGGAAGAAATAGCTAAGAAAATGTTTGTAAGGGATTATGTTAATTGCATTAACTGATGTAGGAGACCTATCTACTCACAGGGGAGGCATCACTCCCTGGCTTAGGGACTCTGAATTTGACCTACTCCCTCAGCCGCTGCTGTGGCTTGCCTGCTTTGATGGACTATAACCTGGAACTGAGCTAGAGTACACCCTTTCTTCAGCATATTTTCATCACAGCAACAGAAGGGCTTGAGATGAGTTACTATCTACTAAAAGAACCAAGATGCTCTTGGGGAAGTGTGTCTAGAAAGGTAAGTCTGCGTTATTTTACAAGGCAATGTGAGAAGCCTTAGACGGGCTCGAAAAAGTACCCCAAAAGGTCTCCCACTGGAACATTAAAGACAGTATGAAAAGCAGTAGTAACTACAGTAATGGATTCTAACTCTCAATAAACTAAGGAGTCATTCTCCAGGTACTGTCTAGTCTCTTTTGAGACAGTCTGTTAGTGGTCTAAATCTCTCTAAGTGCTCCAGGATGGGTCACCAGTGAGCTCTGCCTTCTGAGTACGAAGAGAGCAAGAATGGGCTACCATGTCCAGCCTTTTTCTGGTGGGTTCTGGGTATTGGACTCAGGTCTCACATATAAGGACTTTACCAACTAAGCCAACTCCTTAGCTTTTAGTTATTTTCTTCAAACTACTTAAATTACTTAAATAGGTTTACATAAAAAAATAAAGAATGCGCCGGGCGGTGGTGGCGCACGCCTTTAATCCCAGCACTTGGGAGGCAGAGGCAGGCGGATTTCTGAGTTCGAGGCCAGCCTTGTCTACAGAGTGAGTTCCAGGACAGCCAGAACTACACAGAGAAACCCTGTCTCACAAAACAAAACAAACACACACAAAAAATAAAGAATGCATTTTATATCATAAGCAACTTTATTACAAAACCAGTAACTACTAATTCAGCATATCCTGTGTTTTATTCTAAGCATACTAATTTCTATTCATGGTATAGATATGTTGTATTCTGATGAATAGCTCAGATTTTTAAGACCAGCACAAACTTCTTCAAGGTGCTAAACTAATCTATTCAATTTATATCATCTAGTCTTGTGTACCTCAGACTCCCCCCAAAAAGCAAAATTAAACTGATGATACTCATGTCACTGCCCCCACATAAAGCTCTCTACTCGCTAGGGACCCTGCTTTCAGTGAAAATTAGATAAGGAAGTGGCCTCACTCTTCTTCTGTGTACGCTGTCCTTACTGTACTCCTCCAGCCAATCCCCCAAAACCTCTCACATCTTTTTTTTTTCCTTTCTTCCCCTTTTCTACTGCTGTCTTTAATTGTAAAAATTGTTTTGTGACAGTCTTGCTATAAAGCCTATGCTGGCCTACAATCTACTGCTATTTTCCTTAATCAGAGCTACATTATCTCTTTCCTACATAAAGTTTTGAGTGGTTGTTCTACAAACCATCATTCACACTACTGCAGATAAGTCTTTAAAAAATGCTAATGTGATAGCTGAGGCAAAGTCATAATCATTTCATTCTGCTTTAAGTTTCCTTTTCTGGGGTTTTAATATTTTTACTTAATTAGTGCTATAGAGATTCACTAGTAAACTTTCTGAATTTTAATTTTTTCTTCTAAAGTTTTACTAGTGTAATTATACAGTGATGGATTTTAAGTCTACAGTATGTCCACACGCCTCCCCCCACCCCCCGCCAGTCACTTTCCTTTCCCCCAAGTCTCCACTCTGGATGCTACAGTGGCACAGGAGTTTGGTGCACATACTGTACTTATACACCAAATACTCTATTTTATTTCTCATGTCATGTGTATACTACATATGCATACATACATGAAATCTAGAGTCTACATGAGAGAAAAATCTTGTATTTGTCTGAGTTTAGCTTATCCTGGTTAAGATGATTATCCACAGTTCAAATGATACAGTTTTATTGTTCTTTATGGATTAATATCACTGTGTATACAGAGCAGTTCATTTATCCACTCATCTGCTAATGGATACTGAGATTAACTCCATAACTTGGTTATTATGGTTAGTGCTACCTACAATATACAGGATTAGCAGGTATCTCCATAAGATGTAGCTTAGACTCTTTAGGGTCTATTCCCAGAAGTAGTCTGTCTGGATTATTGGGTAACTATATTTTTAGTTTTCTTTGAGTCTCCTGCATACTGATTTTAATAACTGACGATTCTATCCAATAGTCCCATAAAGATTTTCTTACTCAGTCTGAACATAACAAACATTTGCTAAGCCTGTTGCTTGTTTCTTAAGGACAATCATGATACTGTGAGATAAAATCTCTATGTAGTTTGGAGTTTAGATTTCCCTGGATGTCTAAGGATGATGAACATTTTTTCCTGTATTTATTTTTGACCTCTTTATAGCAGAATTGTCAAATTCCAGGTTCACTTTCTCTTTTTAGTCACTATTCTATTGCTTTGAGGAGACACCATGACCAAGGCAACTCCTACAGAATGAAGCATTAACTGGAGGCTTGCTTAGCACCGTGATCATCATGGTGGGAAGCAGACGGGAATGGTACTGGAGAGTACTACATTCTGATTCTCAGGTAGGCAGCGAGAAGGGGAGGAAGAGCTGTACAGACAGACAGACTGACTGGGCCTGGTGTGGGCTTTTGAAACCTCAAAGCTCATACCCAGTGAGACTTCTAATGCTTCCTAAACAGTTCCACTAACTGGATTTAATCATACAATTATACAAGGCCATTCTCATTCAAATCACAATACTGCTGCCAAACAGAGTGGGTAAGGGAGGAAGAGATCACTTGATGGGTAAGAGCCTTTGCTGTCCATGCCTGTGTTTGCCAAGACACAGGCAGATCCTAGGAGCTTGCTGGCCAGTCAGTCTATCTTAAATAAAAAGCTGTGGGTTTTAGTGACAGACCCTCCGACAGGAATAAGGCAGAAAGGGAAAGAAGAAAGCATTAGGCATTCTCCTCATACACACAAGTGTATGCACCCACACCCATACAGAGGCCATGAGCTTACAGATGCCACAAAGTGATGGTCTGAATGATAAATGTCCACTTTAGGCTCAGGTATTTAAATACTTTGTCCCACTGTTGGCAGCACTGTTTAGGCAGATTGTGTAGCCTTCTTGGAGAAGGTACTTTACTGCGGACAGGATTCGAGAGTTCACAGCCTTGCCCACTTCTAGTCTACATTCTTTCAGCTTCCTGTTGCAGTGGTCTGCTGCCATGCCTCCTGACATGGACTGTTCCTCTGGAAAAGTAAGCCAAAATAAACTCTTGCATAAGTTGCTTTCGGTCACAGCAACAAACTAATACAGCTAATGTGAAAGACACAAGCAGGACACTTTTGAGAAGCCCAGACCTCTAGGGGTGTTTCCTTTTTATATGCATTCTTTTTTCTATCAACATTCATGCTTACCTCTGTGTTAAAAATTCTCTTAATCTCCAACTCAGCTTCCTAAGAGTCTTTTCTGCTGCGAAGTTAAACATTTTGTCTTCATCTAAGTAGCTGTCTCTAAGAAGTCCTCCAGGGGTGCTGTAGGTGACAGCACAGAGTTGTATCTGCACTTTCTGCCTCACTGTGACTGACATAACCTTTCTCTACAGACAGGTTTCTTTGGAGAAATGGCCTTGGAAAGAGGTCTAAAAGAAACAAACAAGTAAGTGTGAATGGGAAAAAGCATTCCTAGTAACCCAAACTCTGTGTAAAGTCTAGAGGTAGTTAAAGCCTATGAAACTGAAAGAAAAGACTACGAAAGAGACAGTGAAGTAGGCAGGGAGTCAAAATATACAGGATTGTGCAGAAGCCTAGACTGTCCCTATAACTGTGGTCCAATTTTAGAATGACATGCAATGAATATCCACATTCAGTAGAAACTGAAGTTTAGATTTTGAATTTATAGTTCAGATTTTAGAAACTCTAAATGACTCTCTTAACTGTAACCCCCTGGAAAAATCTAAAACCAAATTATATACTTCAACATATAGTGCTACAGAAAGAAAAATGGGGGTACAGTGAGGACATGATAGACCAAAGCAAGACCAAATTCTGTAGCTCTATGTCGCAAGACTGGACTTCACTTTTACTGCCAAACTTAATAGTGTTCTCTATGTGGCACTGGCTGTGGAGTCATGAGTGAAGCATCCTGGGTTCTTCCTAAATGGTTTTAGAGCCTCTGAGGGAGACCAGGCAACATGTTACATGGTTGCAAGCCCTGCATGAAGGCCCTAAAAAGCTGTTGCTGGTAGTTTTTCTTCAAAAGAAAAGAAAAATACAATACTTTAGCCTCAGGAAAGTTCTCAGGACGTGAATAGAAAACAGCTAGATTTTGCCAGAATAGCACAGGAATGGATGATTTAGCATGAAAGTCTTGTTCCACTCTTGAGCTGGGACTCTATAGTCTGACTTACTCTCAGCATTTCTATCTTCCAGCTCTTATTAGAATGGCCTGCTAAGCTCTGTTCATAGCATCCAACCTCTTTTCTAAAGTCTTCCACATTCCTTTAAAACCCACAAAACCCACAAAACCCAACCCAACTCAACCCAACCCCCAACATGACCAGGTTCTTCACAGCAACATCTCATTTTCTGGAACCAACTTCTGCCCTAATTACTTTCTGTTGCTGTGATAAAACACCATGACCAAGAGAGAGCAACTACGGAAGACTTTATTTTGGCTTGCAGTTCCAGAAGGAAAGTCCATAATGGTAGGGGAGACATGGCAGCTGGCAACTGAACAAGAAGCTGAGAGATCACAACTTCAACTGATAATGGTCTAGGGAAATTAAGACGGTTTTACTGTAAACAAATTTTAGTCTTGAGGCCATTTCTGGAAAATTTCAGGTTCACATCTGGGAACTAGTAAGACCACAAAAGCTTATGTTTAAGCATAGCTAATTGTTATTTTAGCATTCTCTTAACAAACAAATGGCAGAGTGTGGTGACACACACCTTTAATCCTAGTGTCAAGAGCTAGAGATAGGCAGAGCTCTGTGAGTTTGAAATCATCCTGGTCTACATAGTGAGTTTCAGGCCAGCCAGTCACTTGGTAAGACCACATGTTAAAGTCTTTGTTGGTTCTCTTCTTTCACTATGTGGATCCCAAGGATCAAAGCCAGGTCCTTAGTACTGGTGGTAAATGACTTTACTCACAGAGTCATCTCACTGCTGTAGGCCAACTTTTTTTTTTTTTCTTTTTTCTTTTTGAGATAGGCTTTCTCTGTGTGACAGAGCCCTGACTGTCCTAGACTTGATTTGAAGACCAGGCTGGCCTTGAACTCAGAGATCAGCCTGCCTCTGCCTCCCTCTTCCTGAGTGCTGGGATTAAAGGCATGGGCATTTGTACCAGCCTATTTTAATACTTATTCAAACTATTTCTACATAACAGTAATGTTGTTTTCACTCAGGCTGTCTTTACGCCAAATTCTGTTAAGGATACTGGTATTCTCAACTCTCAGCCAAAAAGGGACTTCACGAAGATTCTGAATGGAGAAGTTCCTTCCCCTCCCAAGGCCTCATAATTTTCACTGTCTATCCTGCCACAGATTGCTATCAAAGTGCCACAGACCCGATCCATATCAGAGGTAACTGAGTAATTGTACAAACAGCTATCTTAGTGCAATATTGATCTCCTTTGCTTAGAAGGTAAATTCAGTGCAGCCTGGCTCTGTCTTATATTTCATTACCTACTAGCACATCTAATAGGAGCATAAAACAGAACTTCACTGAATTAAATGCACACCTGACTATAGTGAGCATCTGGAGACATTTTTGCCTGCTTCTGTGAAAGCCTGCCTGTCAGGCAGAGTCCAGGCAGGTGAGGGTTTGCTGGCTGGCAGATTTCCTGGCCTGTTGACGCATGGAACCAGGAGCTACAACTGAGGCTCAAGGCGAGGGGCTGAAAGTTTTATTAATCTTGGTGGAAGGAACAGGGAGGCCTCAGGATGGGAACGGATATCCAATCTACATCAGCCATTGTCTCTACTAGTTTGTGACTTTGTTTCCCACAATAATGTAATGTATATTAAGGCTGTGAAAAATACATTTGGGGCCGGTGTGGTATAAACCTGCAGCCCTCTGGATTTCTAACCTTCGTCTCTGAGTCTTCCTTTCTGTCTTATAATCATCCTCACTACCCCTCAGAGGACTGTTCAAGTTTGAACCAGCAGGACCAGTGAAATGAAGTCAGTACTTTTAAAATTAAATTTAACATGGTGTTTTATTTCTTTTTTGAGGAACTCTCGGATTATCTTCCTTCAAGTACATAATGAAAAAGAATACCTTCAAACTTAAATTTAAAATCTGTCAGTGCTTTTTCTACCAGGAGGTTCTTTCCATTCAGGCAGTTTTTCAACATGAAACAAACATTTCTCCCAAACAGAGACGTTTCTAAAATTGCTGTAAACAATTAAGCCTTTTATCTCAAATGATTAGAAGTTTCAGATATGTAAATTTTTGTTGGAAAGGATTAAAGTTTGAAAATAGAACTCTATTTTTATCCTTCACCTCATCATGCTATTTTTATTAGTTTACACTTCACACCTCCATCTTACTAGTGTAGCTCTGGATGGTCTCGAACTTGCGACGCTTCTGCTTCTGCCACTGAAGCGCCTGGGCCACCTCGCTGGACTCACTCAACGTTGAGATTGACCCTTCGTTTATGTATATGCGCTGCGAAGCGAGTATGGCCCTTCACTTATGTAAACAGGAAATAACACATCTAAGGTACCACATTCTAAAAATCAAAATTACATTAATCTTCCCTTCAGTAATCTCAGTAGGAGAACATTCCTTCACTCCCGCGGGGTTTCGAGTGTTTTCAGACATCAGTCTGCCCTAGTAGCAGATCGTCTGGCTTTCAGGAAAGCCTCACTCGAACTCAGGGTCACATACATTCCCAATCAAGGATTAAAAGGGAGAGGACCGTCGCAACTTACTCTACAAATGCCCGGGAGCAGAGGCAAAGGATCTTGTACTCCTCCTCGCGGTCTTCAATGAAGAGCAGCATTTCAGCCACGTGATTCCACTTCTCGCAACACATTTCGTAATCCGGGCTAGCTCTCGTGTCGGCTGTGGGGCCGGGCCTCTGCTCTGTTGCTGGAGACAGAAAGGCGTAACCCGCGCGGGCAGAGGAGCGGAACGCGCCTGGGGACGCTCGAGCCCGGAGCCCGCCAGGCGCGCCACCGGAAGCAGCCGCGGCGGATACCGGAAGGGGCGGGGCGACTGACGGTCCTATACCCAATGCGGCTCGGGCTTCTTCCTCTCAGATGTTTAAAGGAAGCCGGCACTACCTGAGTGTCCGCCTCTCCCGGCTCAGCCGCGGACTGGCTGCCGACGTCGCTTGGGTAATCTGATTTCCTGTGACTTCCTTGTCAGGTGCGTCGGGCTGTTCCAGCCGGTGGCATGCGTGGTGTTCAGGTCGCAGGGCCGGGAGCGGAGGGGCAGTCTGATTCCCGGGTCTCTGCGCCTGCGCCGTCTTGTCTGAGAGTCGGGCTCTTGCCACGCCCGTCACCTACAAGTTCTCAGCATCCGCATCTCTCTCCGCTCTCGGAGCTGCCCGCCGCAGCTTTTCGTCTGAGGCTAGGCATTTCTCTTGTTTCATGACGGCCCAGTTCCGCGAGCCTGATGGAACTGGAGGGAAAAGTGAGACTCTAGTTGACAAGGCCATTGGGAAAGGTTAGAACTGTTGGTGAGCTGACTGAGCAGGGTTGGAATACTGGTTTATGCTAGTACGTATGTGACCTGGCAAGTGAGCTGGCCTCAATGAACAGCGTCTGATCACCTGTAAAAAAGGGCTGAGTAGCAGTAACTATCCCTTGAGGCTCCGGAGAGGATCAAAGGAAACAGCACTTACAAACTTTTATATTTGTGCAGATTCGAGTTGGTCTAGATCCTGTAGATGCTGCGTTGTCGCGATCGCTGAGTTTTGTAATCTATTAAACATTTAGTAAGAAATTATAGGGCATACGTTGGACATAGAACACTTGCAGAATTGCTATATTTGAAAAAAAAAAGAGAAGATATTCAGCACTAGGTGCTGTTTGAGACTGGCCAACAGCTTCGTCAAAAACAAAACAAGCTCATGCTTGAAGGTTTTTGCATCATTGAAGACTTAGTTTGTGTTCGTTGGTACTTTTTATGTGCTGTATAAGAAGTGAACTGAAATTCAGATATATATTTGTATTTGGGTCACGTTTATGAATCGATGGAAATACTTTAATTTTTAAAGAAAATGTTTATCCCTACATTCTTTACACTGCTTTTTTTTTTTGAGGTAAAATGCATATTGAATTTAGGAGTTATGAAAGGAAAGAATACTGCAGTTGTAGATACATCAGTCTAGATGTGAATTGTAGGTAGGCATGGTGGCATATACCTTTAATCTGAGACTTGGGAGGCAGAGGCAGACAGATCTCTCTGAGATCAAGGCCAGCTTAGTCTTCAAAGCAAGTCAAGTCCATACAGATGCTGTCTTAAAAATAAATAAATAAATAAATAAATACATGTATTACAGCATTATTTGTGTGACTAGAGTTAGACTATGGTACAGTAGAACAGTAGTAATTAAAAGAATGGGGGACTTTAACCAAAAGTAGAAGAGCATTTTTATATTGAAAAACAAAATCTTTGAAAGACAATGTACGTTAGAACCTGGAGAAAGAAGCTTGAACTCACAGGGTGTTTTTGTTGTTCTTATTTGTTTGTTTTCTTTTTATTGATAAAGTGACACCTGGGTGTTGGGGAGAAGGCTTATTGGTTAAAGGTGTTTGCCACAAAACATTCACTCATGCATGAAAGTTGTTCTCCACCTCCACATGAACAGCCATGGCATATCCTCATGCACCCTCCCCATGGGGTCAGGTAATAAAAAATATTTTAAAATTTAAAAAAAATGGCATGTAATAATTGTACCTATTTCTGGGATACAGAGCAGCATTTCAGTGCATGTATATAGTGTGTATTCATGAGGAGATCGAAGGAAATGTTATATTTATTTCTCACCTCAGACTTACCATTTCTTTGTGTTGGGGCATTCAAAATGTTCTTTATTAGCTGTTTTTGGATACTCACTGTGATAGTTTGTATATGCTTGGCCCAGAGAGTGGCACTGTTAGGAGGTGTGGCCTTGTTGGAGTAGGTGTATCATTGTGGGTGTGGGCTTAAGACTCTCATCCTAGCTGCCTGGAAGTCAGTCTTCCACTGGCAGCCTTCAGATGAAGATGTAGAACTCTTAGTTCTGCCTGTACCAGGTCTGCCTAGATGCTGCCATACTCCTACCTTGATGATAATGGACTGAACCTCTGAACCTGTAAGCCAGCCCCAATTAAATGTTGTCCTTTATAAGACTTGCCTTGGTCATGGTGTCTGTTGACAGCAGTAAAACCCTTACTAAGACACTCCGTTTGTGAACCAGTTTTCCTACTGTGCTTTAAAAGTTAACTTTTCCTTTTGGCTAAACCCCACACCCACTAAATCACTCTCTCTATAGCCTTCTTTGCACTTGTCCTGATCTACACTTCTTTATCTTTGATATTAGCTTCCATGTATGAGAGCAAGAGATGATACCACCCAAAGTTAGGGTGGGTCTTCCTACCTCCATTAACAAAAAACACCAAAAACCAACCAACCAACAACCCTCACAGACATTTGTAGAGATTTGTCTCTTAGGTGGTTCTAAACCCATAAACTGACAGTCAAGAGGAGCTACAATAGTATTGTTATCTATTTCTCATGTTTGTTGGCCATTTGTATAATCTCCCAAGGAGTGGCTATTCAATCCCTCTTTTTAATGAGATTATTTGGACTTTTCTTGTTGAACCTTTTGACTACTTAGTACAGTCTAGAAATAAATCTGTTTGATTAATAGATTTTTTTTTTTTTTGCTTTGGGGGACATAGTTTTTTCCCTGTATTTTTCTTCTAATACTTTAAAGTGCAAAGTCTAACACTGCTGCCTTTATTTAAAAGAAATTGGCTGTAAATATGTGCATTTATTTTTCTATTTTGTTTGGTTTCACTGGTCTGCATGTCTATTTTTATATCGGTTTCATGTTCTGGGTATATTGAAGGCAGATATGGTAATGCCTTCAGCATTATTCCTGGTGCTCAGGGTTGCTTTGGTCATTTCAAATCTTTTGTGTCTTCATATGAGTCTGGGGATTGTTCTAATTCTGTGAATGTGTTTTTCTATTTCTGTGAAATGTCTTTGATATTTTTTATTGGAATTTTATTGAATCTGAACATCATTTTGACTAGTATGCACATCTTAACAATATTAATTTCTCTAAAATAAAAACATGAAATGTTTTCATTTTTTATATCTTAATTTCTTTTGTCCCTGTATTTATAACTTTTATTGTAGAGATTTTTCTTTCTTTGTTAAAGCTATTCTTAGGTGTCTTCATCTCACTTAGGTTTTGTATGTACTCTGCTCATAGCTGGAGAATACACACACACACACACACACACACACACACACACGTAGTTTTCACTGTGACTTACTATATGAGGTTGTGATTTAAGTGTGGAATTTTCTACTTGGTGACATTCAGATTTTTCTGTTTTGGAGCAGCTTGTGCTTCAGGGTTGACATGTGCTTAACTTAAACTGTGTAGAACTTGGTCCTATCCTTAGCTTTAGGTATCTACCTGGGTCCTAGAATGTACACTTTGTGGATAAGAGAGACTACTATAATTCTGTTACTAACTTCTCTGAGGAGGTACTAAAGAAAGCTATAAAGTCAAAATATGCGAAAACCTATTAAAATGTAAATAAACACTAACAGCCAAGGTTTCAAACTGTTATTGGGCCTAGGCAGTTTTCTTTAACCTATATGAAAGCTTAAACATTTTGTTTATTTATTAGCAGTGTTTAAATACTTTAACAATTTTTGAGATACAGTTCACAGTAACATGTACCATTTTATACTGTGCATATCTCTTTGACACTCCCTAGCTCTGGAAAGCACTAATTTTCCTAACTTTTTGAATTAGCTTATTTTAGGTATGACAGTGGACATGTACTGCCTGGCCATTTGTCATTTTTGTTTGTTTTTAATTTAATTTATGATGCTATTTTCCATGTTCACCCATGTTGCAGCAGGTCTCTGCTCTCTGACTGAGTGGTGCTGTATTATATGGTTATATAAATTCTATCCCCTCATCTGTTCGGTGGACATCTAAATCTATCCACTTTTCAACTATTATGAATGATTCTGCTACTAATGCACAAGCTTTTGTGTGAATGGTGTGTCTTTACTCTTGTCTCATGTAGTAGTAGATTTGTTGGGTAATATGGTAACATATATTTAGTTTTTTCAGGAACTACCAGCACTAAATTTTGGTGTATTGAATTTTAAATGATCAAATGTTGGCAAATTATGGTTTAACTCTTATGGTGGATTTGTTAGTATAATGATTAAATTTTATTATACCTTTTGATTTTATTATTTTATTATCAACTTTTGATTTTGATTTGATTAAGAAACACCTGGTACATTAGTGAAGCACCCTATTGGCTATGTCTTAGAGGCTATTTTGAAGGGATTGCCCATGGTACTGAGTAAAAAGGAAGACAGCAGAAACCATGGTGCTCACTGGCATTCCTCTTCCTTTGCTTCCTATTTGTTGCCACAGGACCAAGTCTTTTGTGCTTCCATAACTTCCTGCAATTATTTCTGATTTCCTTTGAACTGTGAGCCAAAGTCAACTCTTCTCATTGTCATCTGTCTTTTTTTTTTTATTAAATCTTTTTTTTTAATTTTTATTTATTTATTATATGTGAGTACACTGTAGCTGTCTTCAGACACCCCACAAGAGGGCATCAGATATCATTACAGATGGTTGTGAGCCACCATGTGGTTGCTGGGATTTGAACTCATGACCTCTGGAAGAGCAGTCAGTGCTCTTAACCACTGAGCCATCTCACCAGCCCATTGTCATCTGTCTTATTTGTCTGGTATTTGATGGTAGTGATGAGTACATTAGAGAGAGAGTTTATGTAGTATTTTTGTAGCTATGCTTTCAGTTGATTATGTTTTAACAGAACTTTTAGTGATAAGAAGAGTAACCAATGCAGTGATATAAT